CCCACTCCAGTAACTTGTCTTTCTGATGTATACATCCAAAAGGTATATCTGGGGTATCTAATATTGTAACTTCTAAAGGCACACCAGATTCTATGCGATGAGCCATTGCAGTTTCAATTGATTCTTGTATTTTTTCTAATTGCTGTTTTGCTTTTGTAGTAGGATCAGAGTCGCCTCTAAGAATATCATATGGATCCTTTAATTCATGAGTCCGTATTTTTAAATAAGATCTGATCCAATTAATGTCTCCTAGGAGTTTCTGAAAATCATTTAATGTTTTTAGTTTATCTTGTCTAATACATATCTTTTGAGGCTGAATTTCTTTCATCCCTACTAATTGTCCTAAGTACGAGTAAGGAGGTGCCTTTTGAATCTTTTCAGGTGCAATCTCTAACCCATGATCTCTAAGAGCGGTAAACATGTCCCCCATAATACTAGCTAATTGCTCTTTTTGTGGATGAGCACAAAGGATGTCATCCATATAATGAATTATGTATGCTTGGGGGTATTTTTTCCTGATGGGATCTATAGCATCTGCTACGTATTGCTGACACATGGTGGGGCTATTCTTCATCCCTTGAGGAAGCACCTTCCACTGATATCTTTGGTAAGGTTGTTTCAAATTTTCTGATGGTAATGAGAATGCAAAGTATTTACAATCTTCTGCTCTAAGAGGTATAGTATAAAAACAATCTTTTAAATCAATTACCCACAAAGGCCAGTCTGCCGGGATTGCAATCGGAGAAGGCAGCCCTGGCTGTAAGGTTCCCATAGTTATCATACGAGCATTAACTTGTCTGAGATCTGTTAACATTCTCCATTTGCCTGATTTTTTCTTAATAGCAAATATAGGAGAATTCCATGGACTAGTGGAAAATTCTATATGACCTGCTGCCAATTGTCTGGTTATAATATCTCGAAGAGCCTTAATTTTTTCTAGACTAAGGGGCCACTGGTCCACCCATATGGGGGGCCCTTCTTTCCATGTTATCTTAGGAACCTGTACTGTTCTTTTCTTTTCGACCGTGACCCCTACTAAAAATTTTTGCTACTTACAGTAACATTCATATGTTTCAATAAATCTCTTCCCCAGAGGCAGTATGGAAGGTGTGGCAATACATATGGTCTAAATCTCCCTTGCTGCCCCTCCACTCTCCAAGTAAGCCATGCGCGCTTTGTGCAGGAGCGGCTATTTCTCCTATTCCCTGTAACATCACATTTCCTTGATCTAGTGGCCAGTTTCTAGGCCAAGCCCGTAAGGTGACAACTGACTTATCAGCTCCAGTGTCTATTAACCCTTCAAATTCTTTTCCTTGTATCTCTATTTTTAGAGTTGGTCTGGCATCTGTGATAGTTCTATGCCAAAACAGTCCTGTGCTACCAAATCCTTCTGTCCCCCTTACCTTTTTTGTCATATTCCCCAGTTTTTTATAATCCATTACAATCATTTGTGCTATTCTTTCCCCTTTTTGAATGACAAAACGACAACGAGGAAAAGCATAAACCATAACCTCAATTTCTCCAGTGTAATCAGAGTCCACCACTCCAGGAATGACCATGAGTCCCCTAAGTGTCTGGGAACTACGGCCTAAGATTAAACCCACCATCCCTGGGGGTAATGGACCATGTACTCCAGTGGGAATACGTACAACTTCATCTCCAATGTTTTTATCAAGAGTGGAACTTAAATCTAATCCGGCACTACCTGGGGTGGCATGAATAAGGTCTAATATTGTGAGTCTTGTGGGCGCAGAGCAGGGACTGGTTGAATCAATGACAGCGCTGCTCCTATTGTTTGGAGGGGCCGGAGCGGGCCCCTCCGGGGGGTTTAAAGGCTGTCCATTAACATCTGAAGTAGATCTACATAATGAAGCCCAATGATTTCCTCTTTGACACCTAGGACAAGGAGTAGTAGGGGGCTGAGACAGTGTCTTCCTAAGATCCCTACAATCCTTTTTTATATGGCCAGGCCTTCCACAATTAAAACATTTTAACCTTCTCAGGTCCCTCTGATTGTTAGGAAAGGCAGCTGCTAGCATTTCTGCTTGGGCTGCTGCCATAGCCTGTACCTGAAATTGCGTGGTCCCTACACTCTCACACCGCTGAATCATTTCTGTAATATCCATGTTGGACTTGCCGCCTTGTAAGGCTTTTTTACAATCAGCATTAGCATTTTCACAGGCCAATTTTTGAAGGAGTATTTCAGCTGCTTTTGAATCAGAAATGCTCCTTTGTATGGCTTGCGTAAGTCGGGCTACAAAATCTGGGAAAGTTTCTTGGGGGCCTTGCTTTATCTGAGTATACGAGGCTCCCCTATCTTGTTTCCCAGGAACCTTTAACCATGCCACCTGTGCAGCTTTCGTAATTTGTTCATATGCTACAAGTGGATAATCTAGCTGTTGCTGCAGTGCAGTAAACATTCCTGTCCCTGTGAGCTGCTCCAAAGAAACAGGAATCAATGTTCTTGTATTGTATCCTGCCTGCTCTTGGCATTGCTCAATAAATTCTGATTTCCATATTAGATAATCCAAACATGTTTTTGCTAATGAATACCAATCATATGGGGCCATGGCTGTATTAGCTATTGAATCTAATAAAGTTTGTACATAGGGACTGTTTGGCCCATATTGTACTGAGGCTTGTTTTAATTCTCTTAAAACTTTGAATTCAAAATTCCTATGTTCCCTAATCATCTGTCCAGGATTATCTGGATTCTCTTCTTCATATAGTGGAAACATCATGCTTTTTGGGATAGCTAATTTTAAGTCCATAGGCACTTCTTCCCCTCTGCTTTCTGCCCTTTGTATTGTCTCTTCTAACAAGCCCTTACAAATTAACTTTCTCCCAGGCTGTTGTTTAACTGAAGGTAAATACACATCTTTCTGTTGCTTAGGGGAATGCACATTTCTCTGTTGTATAACAGAATACACATCTTCCCTCTCCTCTTCAACTATGCTCAATTGTTCCTCAAAGGCTTTATGCATTTCTTCTTCCTCATCTGTTCCTACCCCCTTATCTGCCCGTATCACTTTCTCAGCCACTAGTACTTTATCCGGGGCGTAAGACATATTTTTAGCACATTCCACATTAAAAAGGTAGCAATCGAGAATGCACCAGGGCCCTCTTCTCTGTAATATTCTCTTAGTTGCTTGCCTACAATCTCCCATTTCTCTAAATCAATTGTCCCTTCTGGTGGAAACCATGGGCAGCATTTTTCTATAACTTCTAAAAATTCCTGTAACTGACTGTTTGGAATAACTAAACCTTTTTCTTTCACTATTTTCTTTAGTAATCTTAGGTAATACTCTCTATCTCTTTTTCCACTTTGTACTTGACCCATACTTTTGATCTTAAGGGCGCCTCTTAAGATCGAAAGTATATATGTGGGCCTTTCCAAAGCGACACTATATCTTATGCTCTAAATACCGAGCCTGTTTCTAAACTTTTTTCTAATCAATTTTTTTTTAATCTCCCACGTAAGCCTGGTGATTTCGCCCCCTCATAATCCTATTATTTCTATGGGGAAACCTGTAATGACCCTCGTTCCTTTTTACCTTAGTACCGCGGCGTTGAGCCACTTCAGGACCTTGTTTCCTGGCGTAGTGACCAGCAAGGATTTCTTCCTCCGCAGCGTTCAAGGAACCGACCTCCCTCTGACTTTTAGTCACTGTTCGACGCGCCAATGTGTTGCCCGCAACCAGATTGTACACCGAACAGAGAGGCTTGAAATAACTTATGACATGGGCCAGGCGGAGTAGAATTACTGACTCAGTTTATTCATCTGAGGGCACAGAATATATAGGGAAGATCTCGCCTAACTTCAAAGAGTCCTCCCCATGAGATACTCCCCAGAACATCTGCTGAGGATGTAACAATCATGAATTTCCTCCTTATCAGGGTTCCTAGATTGGGCTGTAGATTCCAAGGTTTTCCCAGGCGCCTTGGCGCCACCTGCATAGAGGAGTAAATACGTAAATCTAAGGTTCAGAGAGAGAGAAGGGATATCTCAGAGACCTCTTTATCAGGAAGGAATTTGGGGAGCCGTACCACTTAATCCCCGAGCCCTTTGGGTGAAAGCCTGACAGAGGTCAAACTCTGCCTTGGATCTTAAACCCTTATCAGACTCTTAAGATTGGCCCTCAACTTTAAGTGACTTGCGCAGAGTCACACCTCTAATAAGTGTTATGTTTCTGAAGTCAGATTTGAACTCAGGTCCTCCTGACTCTCGGGCCAGTGCTCTATCCACTGTGCCACCTAGCTGCCCCATGTAGGGTTTTTAAGTAAATGAAGATATCACTTGCAGAAAGCCATGAATTTCTTTCTTCCTTGCTATGCTTATTTTCTCAATTTTTTTTGTCCTGCGCCTATAACCAGCATTTCTATCCCTGTATCAATCTAGTAAACCGTTATTAAGCACCTGCTATGTGCCAGGCACTGTACTTAGCCCTGGGGATGCAATTAATAAAAAGAAAACCAGACTCTGCCCTCAAGGACTTATAATCAAATGCCCCCTCCCCCCCAGAACAGCACACGAAAGGAGGCAGGAAAAGGAGAGAGGGTGTTCAAACCAAGCAGGGAGCAGTTTCAGAGCAGAGTGAGCCAGAGAGTCCTGTTCCCGCCTCAGATAGTGGTGGTGGGAGTGGACAGCCTTCCTTTGCCGCTGATCTTACTGGAAAGGGCTCTAGTTTATCCCTACGACTTGTAATACTGGGTCTTGGTTTTTGATAGATATCATTTACATGAGGATGGCAAGAATGACCAATGTTAATTTAGTGCTTTAAGGGTTGAAAAGTACTTTACACGTATTAACTCATTTGCTAATTAAATTCCTTCTTCAGGAGAGGCCTATTAATCCCTGTATTTTCTCGTGTTTTTAACAGCAATGAGTGTTGCATCTTGTGGGCACGGTCAGTGCTTTTGTTCCTCAGGCTTCTTTGTATTGACTCAATCTCTGTACATTGTAATAGGGACTTTTCTTCTTTTATGTCTCTCTTCTTTAGTGTCTAACATGACCTTGTACAGAACTGATTGAGGGCCGCCTGCTGCAGCACTTTGAGCCAAGTCTCTCTGAGTTCAAGACTTAAAAAATGGGAAAGTGATTTGCATGGTTCCTCCTATGCCCGTCAGCTCCTGTGTTTGGTGGCCGAGGCCTCTGCCGATGAATGACCATGTGGTAAGTCCAGCCAGCATCCACGCTAAGGAAAGGACAAGGAGAGAGCCCATGCCGAAGGAGGCCCCAGGAGGGCTGATGCTGCCGTCCGCCCCATCTGGGGGGGGAAAGAGGCAGAACAGCTCCCAACATGACGTCCTCAGGGTTCCCTTCATACAGGGCAGGTCCCACCTCTGGCAGGTGTCAGAGTTGCTGCCCCCTTTGGGGAGGTGGGGGAACAGTGGACTGGCTGAGGCGATGACTGACAGCCAACGTGGTTAGTAACAGAGCTATCTATATTAGCTATATTAATAATTTAGTGTGCATGAAGGTAGTTCATGGCAGGCAGTTCTGGTGCATTTGCTTTCCCCAGAAGAAGGATGGCCTGGCAGAGAAAAACAACAACAATAATACTAACTAGCTAAGATTTATGTGCCAGGCACTGTGTAAGCACTTTACAAATATGACCTCATTTGATCTCACAACGGCCTTGGGAGGCAGTTGTTTTACTGGCAGGCAGGGGCTCAGTAACTTGTCCAGCTTGCTAAGAACTCGGGGTTGTGGAGACCCCAGCGCAGATGTTATGAGGAGTGCCAGGTCCGTCCTGGTCCCGGTGACTTGGTGGGAAGGGTCTGTGTCCTGCCCTGGCTCAGGCTGCTGGCATCCTCCTGTTCTGCCTCTCCCCAGCTCTGCTGCCCGCCGAGGTCTCCATCCTTCCCTGTGAGGAGCGAGCCGTGCACCAGCCAGGATGGCCTTGGGGCTCCTGAAGAAGCAGGTGAGTCAGCGTCTCCTGTTGGCCCTTGGGGTGCACATCTGTCTCTGGGCCGTGTCTTGTCCCCAGAAGATGAAGAGTGGGCTACAGAGTTAGAGCTGGAAAGGCCCTCAAATCATTGGGACCAAATTCTGAGTTTTACCCAAGAGGGAGGGGCCTCAGTGTCCCCCAGCCCCTCATTTTACAAAGGGAGAAACTGAGGCCCAGAGACATTCGATGACTTGTCAGGGGCCACACTTGTCTGTAGTGAGCAGGAGCACCAGGATTTGAACCCAGCTCTTCTCATTTGTCCGATATACTCAGTCTTGGTCAGGGAATCCAGGTCCACAGTGTGCCCAGTACAAAGCTGGGTATGATGCCTTTTTTGTCTGCAGTATCTCTGGTGCTCAGCTCAGTGCCTAGCATGTAGCAAGTGAGGAATATGTGTTTGCCAACTGGCTGGCTGATGACCCTCTCCTCCTTCACATGCTCTTCTCCTAGCTTCTGTCCTGTTCTCTTCCTGCTCAGTCTCTTCTCCGGGATCTCCTTCCCTGTCCTGGGTGTTCACTCTTCTCTGCCCTGGGCCCTCTTCTCCTCCCCCTGTCATACGTGATCTCATCAGCTCCCGTGGCTTTGTTACCGTCTCTCAGCCGGTGCTTTCCAAATCCCCTTCTCTCTCTCTGGACCTCCGCTCTCGCATCTTGAGCTTCTGATTGGGCTGCTCGGACTGGACATCCTGTAGACTCTTCCTGTCCCAAACGGAATTCGCTCTTTCCCCCTTCCCTCCAGCGTCCTCCCAGGTGCTAGGCTTCCAGCCAAGGTGTGATTCTCGACTCCCCACTGTCTCTCCATCTGTTGCATCTCCCTGGCCGGGTGTCCAGCAGATTGCCAGGGCTTGCCGGTTCCACACTGCTGCTGCTCCTCCTCTTTTTGCACCTGCTGGTCAGAGGCCCTGCCTCCCTTCAGCCCTTCGTCCCCTCAGCTGCCAGACTGATCTTCCTCAAGCTCGGGTCTGACCGTGTCACCAGTCTTTGGTCTGTGCACTCCTGTGGCTCTCGATCACCTCCAGCATCGGTCTGGGTTTTAAAGCCCTTCGCCACCCAGCCCCTGCCTTCCTCTCCAGTCCCCTGACACCTTCCTGCCCTCCCATGTCCTCTCTGGATCCTCCTAGGTGTCCCCTGCATACGACCCTCCACCGCCAGCAGCAGCCATTTCCCTGGCTGGCCCACATCCTTCTCTGCTGGCTTCCTTTTAGCTCCGATCCCCTCTTTGACCAGAAGCCTTTCTCCTTCCTTCTGAATTCTAGGTCACGTCTCCAGCGTTATCCTGGCCAGTCTTGTACGTGTGTACGTACGTGGCTGTTGGACTCCCCAGTTAGACTGTGAGCTCTTTGAGGGCAGGGACGGCCTGCTGCCTTTTTTTGTGTCTTCAGTGCTCAACACAGCACAGTGCCTGGCACACAGTTGGTGCTTAATAAGTGCTTGTTGACTGAAGAAAACCAAAGACATCTTGTAAGAAAAAAGCTGATCGTCACCCCCTGCTTGAAGATTTATGGAGCCGTGGCCTCTGCACAGAACCGTGGAGCAAGTGTGTACTTATTAAGTGCTTTCTGTATGCCTTGCTTTGGCAGTGTCCTGCGGGGCTGAACTCAGTGCTGACTGTGTGAATGGAGAGGAAAGCGTGTGTACCAGCCATGGGTAGATGGCCCAGTAGACAGTTGGAGATGGGAGCCCAGAGGTCAGGAGAGAGGGTGGGGTTGGAGAGATAGATCAGCAAAGAGATGGCAACTGAATCCAGACACCCCTGTGGGAAAAGAGGAAATGGACAGAGTCTTAGGGTACCACCAGGGTTAGTGGGGGGTGACATGAATGATGATCCAGTGAAGCAGACTGAGAAGACGTGGTCAGACAGGGAGGAGGACGGGAGATAAGGGTGTCCTGAATCCTAGAAGAGAGGGTCTCCAGAGGAGAGAGTGACCAACAATGTCAGAGGCCACAGAGAGGTTAAGGATGAGGGCCGAGGAACAGCTGTTGGTTCTGGTGGGGGCGGGGGAAGGGGATTTCACTGGTACTTTTGCAGGGAGGAGCTTCAGGTGAGTGATGGGAGGTCGGGACTGCAGATGCCTCAGAAGAGTATGAGAGTCAAGGTGGGGAGACCCCGTCCAGTGCTGAGAAGGGGCAGAGAGATCTGGGGCAATGGCCACTCACCCAAGGGCTCCCAAAGACAACCTCGGCTTCAAGTGTAAACTTATTTACAGAAGCTTGGAGGGTTGGAAGGTTGGCGGATTATAAGCAGGGCCACCTCACAGGGTGAAAGCACTTCAAATAAAGATGGGCCAGGTGCATGAATAATGGGTAAAGATTCATCACTGATGAAGCCAAGCATCTGAGGGCTTCCAAGGGGATGAAAGGAAAGGACAAAACCCAGCAAAAGAAGCTAGCCAAGGTCTGTGAAGATTTTTGTGACAAATGAGCCCCACGTCCTGGCTGTAAGACCTGACGGGTGACGGCCCGCTCAGCCCATTGGCTGTTCTGTCCCATAGAGATGACGGCCCCCGTTGGCCTTGTGTGGATGGCCATGCCAGCCCTCTAGGACCCCTAGAGCCCAGTGCAAGCACTGGGCAGGGGGCACAGCATCTAGGCCCTCTTGGTGGACTCTGCCAGGGGCTGGCCAGAGTGGTTGTGTGAGCAGTGAGTTGGAGGCAGAGGGATGAGGGTGCACTGGGATTCTGTAGTCAGCTCACTTCAGTTTCTGAGAAATGGAGCCTTTATGGAGAAATTGTGAGAGATCGGGCTTTAATTAGTCATGGAGAGGGATTGCCTTAGCATTTCTAGTGGGAGGTGAATGCTTTCAGTGGCCGGTGTTATGGCATGCGTCTCATTACCAGATATGGTTTGATGATCTCAAACCCCAAGCCCTTGGAGTTCAGGATTCTGAAGGCAGGGCCTGGGGTGCAAAGCCTGAGCAGAGCCTCTGGGCCAGGAGCCAAGTGCAGGCTCACAAGTGAGGAGGCTCATGCAGGCTGCCCAGCCTCTCCTAGATTCTGGTTCCTTGTCAGTAAAATGGGGATAATTGATTTTTGTGTCACTGGGCCGACAGATTTGCTGTGAAGAAAGCATTCGGTGAATCACACAGTGCGGTAAAAGTCTGAGGCTCCGAAGCCCACAGGATCCCAGGTTTAGACTGGGCCTTTAGGGAGTCGGAGGCCAGAGAGAGAAGTAGCATGTCCACAGTCAGAGGAGCAGAGTCACAGCTGGATTTCATACCTTCTGAGTCCCAGTGACATGCTGCCTCTAACCCAGGGATGGGTGTGTGTGTATGGGGGGGGGCAGGGGGGACGGGGCGGGGGGGAGGCCTCACAATCTCTCCCAGACCAAGGCCTCCTGGGGATGGGCAGACATTTGAAAGCTGCAGGTTGCCCCACCCGTGTGAGGAGCAGGCCCTGCCTTCTTTGAGCTTCACCTCCCTGCCAAGGCTCCTGGGAGGTGTGGTCCCCAGGTCAGCACAGGCACTTTGGGTTTTTCAGGGATTGGTGAGATTCAGAGATGTGGCCGTGGACTTCACCCCGGAGGAGTGGGGATGCCTAGCCCCATCTCAGAAGGAGCTCTATAGGGATGTGATGCTGGAGAACTATTTGAACCTGGCCTGTCTGGGTAAGTGAGGACTGCCTTCCTGTCTGGCTTGGGGTCTGCTTCATGGAGGGACTTTTCTTTCTCCTTTAGAAAATTGTGGGTCACGTTGTTTGGGGTACAGTGGCCAGAGATTCCTGATCTGAGAAGAAACCTCTTTTAAAGCCCCTCCACCTGGCCCCAGCCAGGCTTTCCAGCCTCATTGGACCCACTTCCCTTCCTGTACCCTGCCATCCCACCAGCCTGGCCTTCTCCCTGTTCCTCACACACCACCCCATTTCCCATCTCCGTGCCTTTGCACTGGCCGTCCCCAGTGCCTGGCATGCCCTCCCTCCTTGTCTCTACTTCACAGAGCCCCATTCTTCCTTCAAGACGAAGCCTTTCCTGATTCCCACCCCCACCAACTGCTGCTTCCCTTCCTCCCAAACCCCTTGGATTTCGCTGCTCTGTATATGTTTGTATTGATTCACTTTTTATTTATTCTTTGAATATTTTTAATATGTCATTGCTGCCTCCCTGCTATAGTGTGAGCTCCTGGAGAGCAGGGCTTCTTTGTCCTGCTCTCTTCAGCACCTTGCCTGGGGCCTGGTGGTTTGGGGTGCCTCTTCCCATGAGGAGAGGCCTTTCAACAGTTCAGAATTTCTGATCCCTTCTGGGGTGCTATGCATAGTGAATAATAATTCAGTAATAATTCCGCAGAGGAAAGCCATTCCATTCTCCTTCCTTTCTCCAAATCCACCCACTTCTAAAGGACGTCGTAGAGCGAATCCTTAAAGGCCTTGGGTGCCCACATTGTCCCCCTCGAAAAAAGCTGTGGTTGAATTCATGACACTGATTATAGTGAATGTTTTAATGTGCCCAGCACTGTGCTAAACACATAACAGTTATTATCTCAGTGGATCTTCACAACAAGCCTGGGAGGTTGATGCCATTATTATCCTCGTTTTACAGCTGGGGAAACTGAGGCAAATAGTTTTGTGGTTTTTTTGTTTGTTTTGGTGAGTAGCACAGGGTCACACAGCTAGTCAGTGTCTGAGGCTGGATTTGAACTTGGGTCTTCCTGACTCCAGGCTCAGTGCTCAGCATTCTCACTAGGGTCCTCAACATTTTCTCATTTTCACTGGGCAGGACTTGCTGTGTCCAAACCTGCTGTGATCTGTCAGTTGGAACAAGGGGCAGCACCGTGGCTGCCTGAGGGAGACGCCTCAGTACGCTGCTGTCCAGGTGAGTTAGTGATGCCTGGCTTCTGGGACAGCCCTCAGCACCTGCTCCATGTTGGGTAGGGGATTGTTGTCAGAGCCCTGAGGCCTGGAGAGGAGGAGGATGGAGGAGGAAGAGGGGAGGAGGAGGAGGGAGAGGGAAGGAGGGAAGAGGGGAGGAGGAGGAGGGGAGGAGGGGGGGGGAGAGGGGAGGAGGAAGAGGGGAGAGGGGGAGGATGGGAGGAGAAGAGGGAGGAGGGGGAGGATGGAAGGAGGAAGGGGGGAAGGAAGAAGGGAGGAGGGAGGAAGAGGGGGAAGGAAGAGGGGAGGAGGGAAAGGGAAGGAGGGGGAAGAGGGGAGGAGGAGGAGGGAAGGAGGAGGAGGGAGGAGGAAGAGGGAGAAGGAAGCGGGGAGGAGGGGAAAGAGGGGAGGAGGAGGGGCAGGAGGAGGAAGAGGGGGGAGGAGGGGGAGGAAGAGAAGGAGAAGGAGAGGAGGGGGAGAAGGAGGAAGAAGGGAGGGGGAGGAGGAGGGGAGGAGGAGGAGGAAGAGGGGAGAAGGAGGAGAGGAGGAAAAAGGAGAAGGAGGAAGAGGGGAGAAGGAGGAGAGGAGGAAAAAAGGAGAAGGAGGAAGAGTGGAGAAGGAGGAGAGGACGAGGAGGAGGGGGGAGGAGGGGAGGAAGAGAAGGAGGAGGAGGAGGAGGAGGAAGAGGGGAGGAGGAGGGGAGGAGGAAAAGGAAGAGGGGAGGAGGAGGGGAGGAGGAAGAAAAGGAGAAGGAGGAAGAGGGGAGGAGGAGAGGAGGAAGAGAAGGAGAAGGAGGAAGAGGGGAGGAGGAGAGGAGGAAGAGAAGGAGAAGGAGGAGGAAGAGGGTTGGAAGAGGGAAGAGAAGGAGAAAGAGAGGAGGGGGAGGAGGAAGAGGATGGGAGGAGGATGGGAGGAGGGAGAGGAGCAAGGGGGGGAGGAGGAGGAAGAGGAGAATGAGGAGGAGGGGAGGAAGAGGAGGCCTGGGGTTGGGTCTCACCTGAGCACCTTTCCTGGAGCTCTGTCCTCCCTAGTCCAGTCTGTCTGCAGTTTCAGGTGCAGAGGTATCAGCTGTTCACTGCACCCTGTGCTGTGTAGCCTGAAGCTGCCTTGGATCTATTCCTCCAAATGCTTTCAGCAGTTGTTTTAAAAGCAGCAAGCCCTTGCCCCCTTCGCCCTGTAGTTTGCATGGCTTATAGCTCTGACCACTAAGCTGCAGTGTACATTTACAAAAAGTCTCTTGTGTTTCAGCCTGCACATTAATTTCTTCCTCTTCTTGGTCCAGTGAGGGAGTGGAAATTGACAAGATGTTGTTAAGAATAAGCACCTATGATACCATATGTGCCCTGTCCCCATGTTCGGGTCTGTGGTGAGCCGGGTCTGAGAAGCAGCAGCAGTGGAGGAAGAACAGAGAGCTGGGCCAGCTGGGGGTCAGGGGTCAGTAAGGGCCTGAGTGAAGGCACTAGAGTCACGAAAGCCATTGTCATGTGATGGGGAAGAAGCAGAAGAACAAGAATGAGGACAGTGCCAAGGATGATACTGATCTTGAAGCCTTGGCTGCAGAAGTAGAGGGAGCTGGTGCTGCCAAGGAACAAGAACCTCAGAAGTCAAAGGGTAAAAAGAAAAAGGATGAGAAGAACCAAGATTTTGATGAGGATGATATCCTGAAATGGCTTGAAGGGTTATCTTCAGAAGCACGGGGAGTCAAGATTGACCGAGAAACTCCTGCTGTAAAGGCAGCAGAAAACAAAGAAGAATTCAGTACTTCCAAGCAAGAAAGAAAAAAAAAAGGCAGAAGGGCAAAAAACAAAGTTTGGATGATGATAGTGAAGAAGCAGAGGAGACACAGTCAAAATCAAAAAAGACTTCCAGAACAAAAATAGAACCACTTTCTGGTGTGAAGATGATAATTTTGGTAAACTTTCTAAGAAGGGTAAAGGGGAAACTCAGAAATCAAATAAAAAAGCAGGTGGTTCAAAAGAAGATGAAGAGCATTAAAAAAGGGTAAAGCCCGGACCAGAGCAGATTCATCAGGTGGGAGTGGTGATGACTCTGATGACTTCTCTCAGTCTAGAAAAGCACAGAAAAAGAATCAGAAAACCAAATCAGCTCTTCATGTTTGAAAGTAGGAATGAAGGTGATGACTCTTCTTTCAAAATAAAAACAGTGGCACAAAATAAAGCAGAAAAAAAAGAGCGAGAACGAAAAAAGAGAGATGAAGAAAAGGCAAAATTGAGAAAATTGAAAGAAAAAGAAGAGTCTGAAAGTGGTAAAAAAAAAAAAAGAACAAACAAAGCAGAAAGAAACTCAGAAGAAACCAGAGGAAGATGCTTTGAAATCCAGAGTGGGTCTTGATGCTGGAGCAGCTCCTATCTCAGAAGAAAAGGGAGATACTCTCACAACTACAGAAGCTGATGATAATGAAAGTGACAAAAAGAAGAAAAATAGGGGGAAAAAAGAATGGAGAAAAGGAGGAGAAAGAAAGAAAAAAGGTCCTAACAAAGCCACTATTAAAGCTATGCAGGAAGCCCTGGCTAAACTTAAACTATGCAGAAGCTAAACTTAAGAAGAAGAAAGACAGAAGAGAGAAGAGGAGGAACGCATTCAATGACTAGAAGAATTGGAAGCCATGTGTAAGGAAGAGGAATGATTGCAGCAAGAAAAGAGAGAAAGAAGGAAGCAAAAAGAAAAGAACGCTTGAAAAAGGAAGGCAAGCTTTTAACGAAATCCCAGAGAGAAGCCAGAGCTAGAGCTGAGGCTGCTCTTAAACTTCCCCAAGCTCAGGGTGTTGAAGTGCCAAAGAAGAGGCCAATATATGAAAGTAAAAAGAGGAAAAAACCACAGCCACAACAAGAAAATAAAGAAGAAACAATACAAGTGAGTGTTCCAGTAGAAGTTACAGAACAAGCTATTCCAGAAAAAGAGGATTCCCTGCCTCTTGTAGAACCAGAAGAGGAAGAAGAAAGGGAAGATACTGGTTTGCATGATTGGGGAGCAATGGCTAGTGATGAAGAGAGAGAGAGAAAGAAAGACACACTGTGCATATTGAAGTAAAAGAAAATCCCAAAGAAGAAGAGGAAGAGGAGGAGGAAGAGAGTGAGGATGAGGAAGATGAAGGAGGAAGTGATGGAAAAGATACTGGAAAGCCTTTAATAGACAAAAAACAAAGCAAAGAACTCAGCTCTGAGTCAGAATATGACTCAGATGATGACTAAACTAAAAAAGAATGGGCCTATGATAAAGCAAGAGGATAATTGAGAAACAGAGACTTGAAAATAGCAAAAATGGAAATACAGAAAACCTAAGAGCCCCTGTTATCTGTGTACTAGAACACATAGATACAGGAAAGACTAAAATTTTAGATAAGCTCCATCATACTCATGTACAAGATGGTGAAGCAGGTGGTATGCAGTTATTGTTCCTGGAGTGGAAGGTCCAATTAGAGGTCTTCTGTTACCTCCTCCTATGAAGGAACTGCGAGTGAAGAATGAATGTGAAAAGTGTAAAGAAGCAGAAGCTGCTCAAGGTGTAAAGATTCTTGGAAAAGACCCGGAGAAAACATTAGCTGGTTTGCTACTGCTAGTGGCTCATAAAGAGGACGAAGTCCCAGTTCGCAAAGATGAGTTGATTCACTAATTAAAACACACCCTAAATGCTATCAAATTAGAAGAAAAAGGTGTCTATGTTCAGGCTTCCACGTTGGGCTCTTTAGAGGCATTACTTGGATTTTTAAAAACTTCAGAAGTACCAAATGCCGGAATTAACATAGGCCCTGTTCATAAAAAAAAAATGTTATGAAGGCTTCAGTGTTGTTGGAGTATGATCCTCAGTACGCAGTAATCTTGGCCTGTGATGTGAGGCTTGAACATGATGCTCAGGAAATGGCTGATAGTTTGCAGTCTGGACTTCTAGTGCAGACATTATTTGCCGTTTATCTGATGTTTTTACGAAATATAGGCAAGGCTATAAGAAACAGAAGCAAGAAGAATTCAAACATATTGCAGTATTTCCCTTTGAAATGAAAATACTCCCCCAATTCATTTTCAGTTCATGAGATCCGATAGTGATGGGTGTAATTGTTGAAGCAGACCAAGTGAAACAAGGCACACTCGTGTGTACCTAGTAAAAATTCTGTTGAGATTGGAATAGTTACAAGTATTGAAGTAAACCATGAGCAAGTGGATATTGCAAAAAAGGGCCAAGAAATCTGTGTCGAAATAGAACCTATTGCCGGAGAGTCTCCCAAAATGTATGGAAGACATTTTGAAGCTACAGACGTTCTTGTTAGCAAGATCAGTCGACAGTCCATTGATGCATTGAAGGATTGGTTCAGAGATGAAATGCAGAAGAGTGACCGGCAATTTATTGTGGAGCTGAAGAAAGTGTTTGAAAATCATCTAATTTTTTTCCACAGTGGGCAGGAAAAGTAGTAAACTTACTATTCAGTTGTATTGTCACCAAGAAAACCAAGAAAAAAAAAAACAATTGAGAAACAATGTGTTGGACTTCGATGGACTTAAGTTTGGAAGGAAAAAATGGGTGGATAAAATGTTTTCCATGAGAAACCAAGAAACTTACACTGGTTTGACAGTGGTCGCTTTACATGTCCCCACAGTTCCAATGTGCCTGTTCACCTGTCCCACTACCTTTCCCCTCCCTTCTTTACTGGCTGCTGTTTAAAGTTTGCCCTATCCCGAATTTCAATTGTTATTACAGAACTAAAGCTCTTCCAGTTTTATACTGATTAAATCAGTACTGCAGTATTTGATTAAAAAAAAAAAGAATAAGAGCTTACACCCACTAAATTTTAGCAATTTTCTTTTCATTCTAGAGAGGCTGTGTCAGGTCTAAGCATATGGCAGGTGGGTGAAGTTTTATATTTAAATATCTTTTCAGATTGGGAAATTAATCCTGGAATCACATACTGTGTTCCAAACTTGGATGTTTCCGTGGAACTATCATTGCAGAAAAGTCTCAGAAGGAAGGATCTCTTTGTCTCCAGCTTGGGAGAATCCTGGGAATGTGATGCTATGCTAGGGAAGCGGCAGAGCAAGAAGAAGGAACCTTCTCGGTAAGTAAAAATCACCCAACGAAGTGAGAGGCCACGAGGATAGTGACCCTAGAGGAAGCTCACTCCAGGACCAGTCTTCTTTTCCAAATAGAGAAGACTTCATAGTTGCTACTCACACACAAAGAGCTTCAGGATAGTGTCATGAAAGTGGTTAACATTTCAGCTCTAAGTTAAATCTTATTACCTTTCATAGATCTTATTCTGGAGAAAAACATTGTAAATATGGAGAATATTGAGAAATCTTCAGAAGGAGCCCAGATATCAATTACTCTAAGTCGATTGATACCCCATAAAGAGAAGCCCCAGAAAAAAACAGATAATAAATGTCTGAAGGCTTTCTCCCAAGGCATAGAACCTATTTACCTAATGAACTAATGAATGTGGTAAAGCTTGTACTCACTGCCCATATTCCTTCCCATCACAGATCTTGTATTGGGCAGAAGTGTTATGAATGTCACGAGTGTGGAAATGTCTTCCCTCGGAGGGCAGCCTTGACTCGACACCTGAGGATTCATACTGGAGAGAAGCCTTATGAATGCCACGAATGTGGGAGGGCTTTCCGTGTGAGTGGCATGCTTACTGTACATAAGAGGATTCACACTGGAGAGAAGCCTTATAAATGTAGTGAGTGTGGGAAAGCCTTCCGTGTGAGCGAACATCTTACCCAACATCAGATCCTTCACACTGGAGAGAAGCCATATAAATGTTACGAATGTGGGAAGTCCTTCTACCGGAGCACAGAGCTTACTCGACATCAGAGAATTCATACTGGAGAGAAACCTTATGAATGTAGTGAGTGTGGAGGGACCTTCCGCTGGAGGGCAGCTCTCACCCAACATCAGACAATTCACACTGGAGAGAAACCTTATGAATGTCATGACTGTGGCAAGGCTTTCAGGAGGAGCACAGATTTTACTCGTCATCAGAGGATTCATACAGGAGAAAAGCCTTACGAATGTCTTGATTGTGGAAAGGCCTTTAGCAGGGGCACGGAGCTTACTCGACACCAGACGATTCATACTGGAGAGAAACCTTATGAATGCAGTGAATGTGGGAAGACCTTCCGCTGGAGGGCAGCTCTCACTCAACATCAGACAATTCACACTGGAGAAAAACCTTATGAATGTCATGACTGTGGGAAGGTCTTCCGTCTGAAGATACAGTTTTCCCGACATCAGAGAATCCATACAGGAGAGAAACCTTATGAGTGTGATGACTGTGGAAAGACCTTCCGCCGAAGGTCACAGCTTACTCAACATCAGAGAATTCATACTGGAGAAAAACCTTATAAATGTCATCAATGTGGGAAGGCCTTTTGCTGGCGAACAGAACTTACTCGACATCAGAGAATTCATACAGGAGAGAAACCTTATGAATGTCGTGAATGTGGGAAGGCCTTTCGTGAGAGTGGGACCCTTACTGTTCATCAGAGAATTCACACTGGAGAGAAACCTTATAAATGTAATGAATGTGGGAAGGCCTTCTGTGTGAGTGGAAAGCTTACTCGGCACCAGAGAATTCATACTGGAGAGAAACCTTATGAATGTCATGAATGCCAGAAAGCTTTTCCCCAGAGGGAAGAACTCATTCGACATCAGAAAATTCATACTGCAGAGAAACCATATCAGTTGATCAGTCAATCGATGAGCATTTATTAACCACTTGCTGTGTTCCAAGTACTGTGCTAGATGCCAAGGATACAGATTCCAAATACACAGCCTTATAAATGTCGTGACTTCTGCCAGGGAATCCTGACTCATTTCAACAGATATTTATATTTAGAGTTTTATCATACACCAGACATTCTGCTAGTTGCTGGGAATACAGACACAAAAATGTAACAGTTCCTTCCCTTAAGAAGCTTACATTTTCTTGAAAAAACACCCTACTGAATGATGGACAGTTCCTGTTGAAGAGAGAAACAATGTCAAACTTGATAAACTGAGGGAATTCTTTCTAGGCAGAAACCTGAGGAGAAGACGTTTTGCCCAAGCAGAGATTTATTGAACTCCCCAAAGTTAATTGCCAATTCTCATGGCCTTTTCTCAGTTCTCTTCCTTCTTGACCTCTCTCCTACATTTCACACTGATGATCACCTTTTCCTTCTGGAGACTCCTTTCTAGGTTTTTGTGACCCTGTTCTCTCCTTGTTCTTCTACCTGTCTAATTGTTCTTTCTCAGTCTTCTTCGCTGTTTCCTCAGGCTGGGTCACACCCACCAACTGGATGCCAAGGCTTTGTCCTGGACTCTCTTCTTTCTGTCACTGGATGATCTCTTCAGTTCCAGTGGGTTCCATTATCATCTCTACCCAGATGATACCCAGATCTCAAACCAGATGTCCTGTAGGCACCTGAAACTCAGCATGTCCAAATCTGAACTCGTCTCCACCTATCCCCTTTTCCCAGCTCTCCTCTCTGATGAACTTCCTTATTACTATTGAGGACAACACTGTCTTCCCAGTCACTTAGGCATGTAGCTTTGGAGTCCTCTTCAGTTCCTTATTCTTGCCCCACGTGTCCACACTGTTGCCAAGACTTGCCCTTTCTACATTCCCAATATCTCTTCCATATGCCGCCATCTTGGCCACCACTCTGGTTCAGGTCCTCATCACCTCACACCTAGATTATTGCAATAGCTGCTGGTGGGTCTGCCTGGGGTCTCAAGTCTTTCCTCCTTCTAGTCCATCCTCTGAACAGCTGCCGGAATAATTTTCCTAAAGTGTAGGTCTCACCATGCCTGTCTCCTATTCAGTGAATTCCATTGGCTCTCTGTTACTTGCAGAGTAAATACAAAATCTTCTGTTTGACTTTTAAAGCCCTTCACGACATGTCTCCTACCTTTACTTGCTTCTTATACTTCTATCCAGCAACACTGGCTTCCCTGCTGACACTCATTCAAGACACTTCATCTCCAGTCTGAGCCTTTGCAATGGCTTTGTGCGTGGCTGGGAGACCCTCACCTCCTCACCTCCATCTCTTAGTTTCCCAGGCTTCTTTCAGGACTCCACTTAAATTGTCTTCTTCGTTACAGTGTGAGTCTCTTGAGGGTAGGACTGTTTTTGCTCTCCTGTGTATTTCCAGCACATAACACAGTGTCTGGCCATGCTAAGTGCTTAGCAAATGTTTGTTAACCAACTGATCTCAGATAATCCATTCTTGAGGGTATGACTGTAATGAGTGTGAGAAGACCTTCACCTGAAGGTCAGTCTATAGAATTACTGCTGACGTGAAACTCTATTAATGCACTGAATATGGAAAGGCTTTCAACTAGAGCAGTAAATTTCACTCTTTGCCAGGGCATGAGTCATTAAGAAATCCCTACAGAAGAATGTAATAAAGTCATGAGTAAGGACGTCATACCAAATTTCTTTTTCTTTTTTTTTTTTTAGGTGAGGGCAGTTGAGGTTAAGTGACTTGCCCAGAGGCACACAGCTAATGAGTGTTACGTGTCTGAGGTCGGATTTGAACTCAGGTCCTCCTGACTCCAGGGCTGGTGCTCTATCCACTGTGCCACCTAACTGCTCCCCCCTTTTTTTTTTCCAAATTTCTTTAAAAAAAAATACAGTCCAATGTTATAGCAACAAAAAAGAAATGTTGTAACCAACAAGAATTTTCCATCCTATTAAGAATGGCCCTAAATTTTAAAAACATTTCCAGGGCCACAGCTGCAGATGGGTCCAATAATTCATTCCCTGCTATGTTTTAAAATTTAATTTTTTTATTGATTCTTTTAAATTTTTTCATCAGTATAACTTCCTGTTAACTCCCTGCTGCCCTACTAGAATTCTCCCTTAGAACAACAACAAAAACATGCTTGTGAGAAGGAAATGCTTGATTTCAGGTACAGATTGGTGAATATAAGATGATTTTTTTTTCCTGTCCAAGTTTATGGATTCCCTGAAATCTTTCCAAAGATGTCAGATTAGGAAACTCTCAAGAAGAGGGGAGGCTCTTGTGGTCTTCCTGCCCTCATTCTGGATGGCTTCAGCATTCCTGTAGATATGCCCTGAAAATCCCTGATCCCAATCTTTCCATCTTCTCAAATCCCAGGACCACCTCCTCCACTCCACTTTACCCACACCCAGGGACAGTCACACCCTAGCCCTTACTAGGACCCTCTGACATTCCTCTGTGTGACCTGATGTTACTTGTTCACCCTTACTGGGCTATCCAGCCCCTCAAGACCTTATCAGGCTCTGACTTCACTTTCCTAGCTTGGCCATCTCAACCTTCAGCTCTGCATCCTTTACTCTTGAATCCTCATCCCCTTTGTCCAATAACCACTCATCCCCTGACTGGCCTCAGCCCAGGATAACTTCTACCGTCCACCTCATGAGCTACTGAATAGGCCACGCTATCCCGCTGACTCTGGATACTCAAAACTCACCTTGGCCAACTTCAAGTGGGCCCTCACTGCAGCAAGGAAGCCCTTTAATCCTCCGTGATTGGTGCCCTCTCATGCTCCACAGAACCTTATCCCAGACCTCTTCTCAAGCTTCCCAGACCTCCTCTTTGCAGAGAAAACTGAAGACAGTTACCTTGAGGTCTCATCTCTTTACCCTCCTCCTTGCTCAACATACCTGTCCCTTGAATACTGCGCAGAGGACTTGAGGGGCTCTGAAGTCCTCGGTCACACGTGCCGAGCCTACTTTCCACTGGACTCTTTGGCCTTGTAGGGAATTGTGTTGCAGGCTCTAGGGGATGTTTGGTACCTGGTCAAGACCCCTTTCTCAATGTGACTGACATAAGGTGCTGCAACTGAAGTGATTGTCCCTGCAGGCTGGGAGGGCACCTTTGTGGGAGATTGAGCTCATGGTATCAGGGAATCCCCTCTTCTTCTCCAAGTGCCCCAGGACCCCATGGGTGCTCTAGTTTAGTGGCCATACGGCAGGAGCCGGGATGGGGACTCCCAAGCTTCTGTGGGCTCCACCAACTATGGATTGTGAGGTCTCCCCTTTCCTGTCCTTAAAGTTCACTATTCCTTTGGTATAACTCTTTGGAGCCATCTGGCTCTTCTAACCTTTTTTAAAATTCTTCTGGTCCCACTTGTTCTCTTTCATTTCTTTCACTTTTTTTCTTTCCTGAAACTTTTGTCTTTCTGCCTCCATTTTCTTTGTCTTCAATTTCATCCCATTTACCCCTGCCCTTCTCTCCCCAGGGCCAGGGTTGGGTGGGGGTGGGGAGGAGGAGCCTGGCCTGTCTTTCCAGCCTCATTGGACATAATTATTCCCCCTTCCACACCCTGTGATTTGGGTGACTGGCCTTTTCTCCTTTGCTCCACAGAACTTTCTCCTTCCCCTTTCTGTCTTTACATTTCTCTCCCTCCCATTCCCCATGCCTGAAGTGCACACCCTTCTCCACAGAAAGGTTTCCTCCAAAACACACTTCACACAAAACAGGAAGCCCGTCCTCCCTCCTGAACAGCCTCATATTTAACTACTTTGTGTTTATTTTTATTTATTCTGAATGTATTTTTGTCTTCGTTGGAACATAGGCTTCTTCAGAGCAGGAGGCTTTTCCTTCTTTGTCCCTATCCCCAGTGCCTGGCAAAAAGTAAGGGCTTAATAAATGCTTGTTGATCGATTGAAGGAAGATTTCTTCCTGGGAATAAGGAGATTGCTTGTGTAAATTGTGAAGCCTGGAGACAGCACGTGGAGTTACAGAACCAGCAAGGAATCCCCTGTGTCTGGAAAGTCCTGTGGGTGAACCGATGAAAAGTGGGGTGGGTGGGAACCAGGTTGGGGAAGGCTTTGAATCTGAGCAGAAGAGAGGGAGCCCTGAGAGGCCAATGGAAGGTTTTGAGCAGGCTATGCCTGTGTCTTCAGAAGATGACTCTGTCATTCAGTGTGGAGGGAGGATGGCCAGAGAGGGGAGAAACTGGCTGCAGATTACAACGTTGGGGGCCGAAGTGGTTAGAGGGGAGGGGGTGGACGGCACTGCCGTCCTAAGATGTGAGTGTCTCCACTTCTTCCCCACCCAGCTTCCCCAGGCAGGTGGGTGCCGCTGAGGGCCTCCCCAGTTTCCCCTCTTTGTGTTCCAGGCCTAGAAACCTAGATCAGTACTGACACTGCAGGGGCCCCATTCACATGCCCCTAACTTAACACCTCTTCCTTCCTCCTTCCCTGTGTGGGTGCCCTCCGCTTTAGAGTGGATGCTCCTTAAGGGGTAGGCAAGGACTGCCTGCTCTTGTATTTGTGCCCTCAGCACTTTCACAGTTTTTGGCTCATGGTGAGCACTTAATAAATGCTTTTTCGTTCATTCATGTATTTGTTAATTCACTGGTTCATTCATGCCATTTATTCATTCTTCACTCATTCATATGAGACACCAGGAGGTTACCACCTCTGAACACTCTCTCTGGAAGGGTGACCAAATTGCTAGGACGAATCCATTTAAGAGGCATCAGGAAAACCTGAGTTCAAGTCCTGTTTCACAAACCACCCACCACCCCAAGAACTCCAAACTGGATTATAATTCCTGAAGCTTCTCCCCTGCCCCCCATGGTGGTGATAGGTCTCCTTGTCTCTGTGTATGAGGAGAAACAATCAAGGAGACAGCAGAAGCTTTGGCTTTCACACCATCGGCCCTATCCCCACTCTTCTAATCGTGATTATGCTTTATTTTTCTCCATGCAATGAATTTCAAGTCAAACTGAAGGCAGCTCTTCCCAGCCACTTCAGCCTTGAGGGCACATACACTTGCACAAAGCTGTCCCCCTCGCCTAGAATGCATTTCTTCATCTCTGCCTTTAGGAATCTTTCAGGCCTCAGTTCATACCTTCGCTGATTTCCTGCCCTGCCTCCCCCCTCCCCTTTTTCTTTCCCATTGAATAAGCATTTATTTCTGACTAACTTCACAAACCCAATAAAACAAGCATTTTCACATACAAAGGAGGACAGTACATGAAATCACTGATTCGTTGCCCAGGGCTCACTCTCCCAATTCAGTATAGAATAAATTCAACATAGGACTTTCAAAGCTGTGCTGCTGTTTCCTGACTTTCTTCCTTCCCTTTTTAGTCCTATCTTTCATCTTTTCCTCCTTTCTAATCATAAGCATCCCCCTCCCACCTTTCTCCCACTGAATGAACTATACTCATAACAAATTTGCTCGGTCAAGCAAAACAAATTGCCTCATCAGTTGTGTCCAGGGTTGTAAGTCTCATTTTACGTCTGGTCTTCTCCTCCTCCTGCTCAGGAAGGGAGGGGATGATCAGCCCTCTGGAGTCACGGTTGGTCCTTGTATCAAGTTCCCAAGTCTTTCAAAACAGAGGAGCTTTTATTGGGCACCTGCTGCATACTGGGTACTGTGCTAGGCACGAAAAGACAAGCTAGTCTTTGCTCTTAAGGGGCCTGTGTTCTTTGGCAGCACTTATCTTAATAAATGTCTTTGCAAGACAGTTCTGAGTGAATAGAAAGCTGGTGTGATACTTACTACCTTGGCCCTTGGTTCCATAAGTCCAGATGTGTTACAATTCTCCCTCCCCCAGGATTCTCTGGTGCCCATAAGGTGAGTTGGGGTGTTGGGGGCTCTCTGCCAATAGCTCCAGCCTCCACCAATGGCATTCCCTCATTTGTAGGGGGTGGGGTCCCCTCCACCCCAGTTCTACTTACTTAACCACTGACTTGTACAAAGCAATATTTACTTCCAAGGTACAATCACAAATATACAAACATTCCCCCAAATCACAGGGCTTAATCCCCCACCCCCACTCCATACTACTTTATTCTCTGGGGAGAGGAAGGGGATTAGGTTCACAGGTAACCTCAGTTCCAAGTTCTAAGTCCAAAACTCCCTGTGGCACCCTTGCTTCTCCTGGCTGGGCCAGCTGGCTGCAATAGCCTACCCGAAGTCCAAGGTCACCAGGGCTCAAGCTTCACCATAGGCACCAGGCACTGTTGCCAACATGTTTGCCAACAAACACTCCAGGCCACAGGGCCTAAAGGAAGAGAAACATGGAGAAAGGGATTTCTGTTTGGGACTCAGTTTGTGGCCCTGGCTCTGTGGGTGAACCACAGGCTCTTACGCCTTTGGATGCAGCAGCAAAGAGAGGCTGTCCCAGTGCAGCCAGTTTTAAAGATGGAGGCTACCTCTGCCCATGTGGTAGAAGAACAGGCTAGGAGGAGAGCCTGGTGTCTCCAGGTGAGGAGATCTGGGCAAGAGCAAACACCAGCATCGCAGGAAATGCTTTGGACTTTCCGTATAATGTGATCCTGATCTGTTAATGTTGGACTTTCTATATAATGTGACCCTGATCTGTTAATGTTGGACTTTCTGTATAATGTGATCCAGATCTGTTAATGCCCTCCCCTTCTTCAGCTCTCGTTGTATTTACTGACTCACACATATAGAACTATTAATAGGGACAGTTTGTCTTTTTGTCATGGTACCTCTACCATTTGGCACCATGCCTCATACATAGTATGCAGTGAATAAGTGAGGAGGGAGTGGGGGCGGGGGTTGGAGGTGGTTCTTGTCCCTGGGGTCAGCAGCCCCTTGCCACTGTTTGTTTTTGCTTCCCATTTCTACTTCCAGGGCTCTGTCCTTCCCCAAGGGCAGAGGACTGTGCAAGGCAGACAATGGCCTTGGTGCTCTTGACAGCCAGGGCCTACCAGATAAATGGGAGTGTCCCATGTGTCCTCAGAGAACAGTCACATTTCTGTTCCACAGTCTGTAATCCAAGAATCTGGTGCCATGAGTTTGGACCTGGCAAGGACGTTAGAAATCAGCTGCTCCGACTTCTCCATTTCTAGAAGAGGGTTAACTGAGACCCTAAGAAGATAAATGAGTTTTAAAAAATTTTACATCTGCAAGAAACCTCAGAAAATCTCATCTAATTCAACCCCTTTATTCTACAGATGAAGAAACAGGCCCATGTAGGTGAAGGGACCTGCTAAAGGTCACGCAGGTCATATAGAGACAAAGCCAGGTCCACAACTCCAAATGTAACTCCCTTTCCACTATAATACACCCTTCCCCCATGTGATCTACTTCATGAGAAATCCTTATTTTTTTTTAAAAGTTCCTTCCACTTTTCCTAGAATCGCTCTATCTAATGTTGCCTCACTCGCTTCTCAAGGAATGCAAGCCCACTGAGTGTTCAGTGCAAACAAAGATGGTTAAGGTTGAAGGAACTAGGCATGCTTAGCCTGGAGAAAAGGAGACTTGGAAGGCTGGAATAGCTGTTTTCAAGCTTTGGAAGGGCTGTTCCATGGAGCAGAGATTAGACTTATCCTGTGTGATCCTTAAGGGTGGTGACAGAAAGTTGACAAGGTGCCAATGTTGTCTCAGTGTCAGGAAATATTTCCTAACGATGAGAGCTATCCAAAAGGGATCGGACTCCTTGAGAGATGGCAGGGTCCTAAGCCTTGGAGGCCTCTAGGAAGAAACTGAACTACCATTTATTGAGCATTCTATAATGGGGATTCCTTCATGTAAAAGTTGTACCAGAAGCTGCTGAAGGCTCTGCTGTGGCAAGATGATGGTCCCGCTTTCAGCTTTCCTTCTATACTGATCACGTCTGACACTGATACAGGGATTTAATATTTGCAAAGGCTTGTAATAATAATTATTATTTGTAATGCCTATGATTGTAGCTAATATTTACATAGTATTTTGAGGTTTGCAAAGTGCTTTAAAAATATTTTATTTGGTCCTCACAATAACTGTGGGAGGTAGATACTATTGTTGTCCCCATTTTAGAGCTGAAGAAACTGAGGCCCAAAGAGATTAAGTGACGTGAAACCCACAGTCACAAAGCTGGTCAGTATCAGAGGCTAGTTCAACTCTAGGGTCTTTCTAACTCCCGCTCCATAGGCACCTATGACAAGGTGCCTCCTCCTTCACAAGGAAGGTTCTAACTGACCAGATCTTCCCCAGGGATCAACAGGCAAGACTGGGAAGGATCTAGAGTATTCTACAGGCCTGCTGTCCTGGGAGACAGTGCCCCCAAAGTTAAAGAAGAGTCTGGACGGGCCCTCCGTTGTTCTGAAGCCCCTTTGTTAGAAGGAGGGAGCTCTAGTTCTGTCTTCTAATTCCTCTCCTTACACCATGCAGATTCCCATGGGCTGGGAGCTTGCCTGTGGCCCATACACAGAGCCCCACCTGGGACCATGACATCCAACTTCTCCTTTTTTCCTGAGGTCAGAGCTTGTCATCCTTATCACTCCCAAGGACACCAGGCAGGGATTGACTTCCTAACAGTGGCCTGGGCCATTCTATGAAAAGGAGGAGAGCCTATAATGAGACAAAGGACAGAAATAGGATTCAAAAGAGCCTTTTGGGACATGGAGACTAGGTTGGAGCAGGGAAGGGATGGCAAGAGGTGGATGTAGGCCAAGGTTGGTTACCACCATCTTTAGTGTCAGCTTTGACAGTCGGGCTTATCTCTGTCAGCAAAGATAGTCTGTCCCTATCCTAGCTGCATTAATTTTGTTTGTTCAAAAGCCTTCTGATTTTATGTAAATAAAATTTATCTGTTTTATATTTTAATTTTATATTTTAAGATCTATTCTATCTCTTGTTTGGTTAAGAATTCTTCCCTTGTCATGGTTGTGAAATATACCTCTGGGCACTTTTCCCTGATATTTCTAAATGACAACCTTTCATATTTAATTTGTGTATCCATTTGAAACTTATTGCTATGTGTGGTGTAATATTATAGTCTTTCTATTGTTTTTGCCAGATTGCTTTTCAACAGTTTTTGCCACATATTGGGTTTCCAAGTAGTTTGTGTATTCAGCTGTCTGTTTATCAAACCCTGAACAATTATTAAATCACATCTGACTCCTACTTGTTTATTTGTTCCACTGACGCGCTTCATTTCTTCACCTGGTTTTGGTGATAACGTCTGTGTAGTATACTTTCAGGTCAGGAAGTGCTAGACCTCCCTCATTCCTCCTCCCCTCCCCCCTATTATTTCCTTGAAAATTAAGAAAGGAAATTGTTAGATGGAGAAAAATCGTTGCATCAGATATCTTGATGAGCAGCAGTTATCCAGAGTATATGTGGGGGCAGCTGGGTGGTGCAGTGGTTAGAGCACAGGCCCTGAAGTCAGGAGGATCTGAGTTCAAATCCAGCCTCAGACCAAACACTCGACACGTACTAGCTGTGTGACCCTGGGCAAGTCACTTAACCCCAATTGCCTTAAAAAAAAAAGAACAAAGTATATAGGGGGTGCATCTATCCACCTCAACCTCTGTTTTCCATTTCTCCTTTCAAGCACTACCTCACTCCCACTGCCCTACTCAGCCTGGGCACCCCCCACCCCGGGCTCCTCTGAAGCCCCTAAACCTCACCCCTACTTCCCTGACATGGCTTCTTTCTGCTTCTCTAGTCCCAAGCACAGGCATCCATATGTAGGAAACATGGAATAGCAGGTCTCATTACTGGGGTCAGAACCTGTGCTCCAGTGTCCTGGCTCTGACTGAAGCTGTGTTCAGCTGGGTGGGTCACTTCAACTCTGAGTCATTTCCTCATTTTTAAAATAGGAATGAGAAACATCTTGGACTAGTGGGGGAAAACCAGATGAATCAGAATTAGGGAACCCGGCTTCCTACTTGTGTGGCCCTAGCCAAGTCCCTTCCATTCTCTGCATCAACTCAAGTTTTCTTCTCTAGAAAATGGGTGGATTGGATGAAACTTTCCCCAAGGTCCCTGCTGGCTCATCTATGAGCTAGGATCCTCAGAGGGACCAGGCCTTGTGTCCTCAGATGGCGACAGGTGGGATTGTTAGAGATCCTTGTCACTAAGGCTGGCTTCCTCCCTATTGCAGATTTGGGGGACATCTGGCCTGTGACTCTGCTCCATACATTGGATAGCAAGCTAAAACATTATTATTGAATATTGGGAACCAGAAACACAAAGACAAAAGAGATCCTCTTTTCTTCGAGAAGCTTACCTTCTTGGGGTGATAGTGAGGAGGATTCCACAGGTATACATAAAACTAACACAGATTAATTTTATTGGAGGATGAGAGCACTAGAAACTGGGGTAATCATGGCAGGCCTGTAAGGAGGTGGCATGTAGTTGAGAGTTGGCAGAGTATTCTAAGCTTGGGAAACAGCCTAGCCCCCTAGGCAAAAAAAATGGAGGGAGGAGATGGGCTGTATTTACAGGGTACACAGCCAGAACACTGGTTCTACTGGCAAGTAGTGTGTGTGTGTTGTGTGTGTGTGCGTGTGTGTGTGTGTGTGTGTGTGTGTGGTGGGGCAGACCAGGGGGTAAGTCAAATCTGTTTGGAAAGGTAGGCAGAGGGGTGGAGCCAAGACAGTGGAGTAAAAGCAATGACTTGCTTGAGCTGTCCCCCAAACCCCTCCAAATACCCATGAAAAATGGCTCTAAACAAATTCTAAAGCAGCAGAATCCACAAAAAGACAGAGTGAAACAAATTTCCAGCCCAAGACAACCTGGATGGTTGATTGGGAAAGGTGTATCATGCTGGGCGGGGAAAGGAGCACAGTTCAGCATGGGGTCACAGGCAAAACATGCCTCAGCAAACCTGGAGCAGGCCTCAGCGGACTGAATCATGGGCAGCTGTGGTGGTTTCCTGACTTCTCAACGCATGAATGCCAAAGACAACTTAGAAGGTCTGTAGGAAAAGTCTGTGACTGCAGTGAGAGAGAGAAAAGCAGTCCCAGCCCCAGTCCCCATGCATGGCCCTGGGGTGGTGGCTGCTTCCAGAGCTTCTGGCCAATAGACTGAGGGGGAATGAAGTAGCTGATCAGAGGGGAATTGAAGGGATCTCTCTGGTGGTGCAGGATTCTCTTGCTTTGCCCATGCTTGGATCTGGGTCACAATTCTGGGTAGTGGTCCTGGGGTGAGGAGGAGCGCTGGTGTAGTGGAGCTTGTAGTGGTGGTGTTGAGAAAATCCTTCTCACAGTTCCAAGGCAGAAAAGAGTACTTGTGGTCACTCGAAGACCAGAGCACTGGCCAGGAAAGGAGTAAATACCTCACCCCTTATCATACCACCTTGGAAGAACTGAGAATTTTCAGGTCCCTAGAAGTATCTCTGAAAACAGCTGCACAAAACCTCCAAAGCTTGGGACAGTACATTCTCCACACTGGAAGCAGATTCCTACCTTAACAAAGAGTTTGTAACTCAAGTAATTGGCTGGGATCATGAGCAAACTGCACAAAAAAGTCAGACCATAGAATCTTTCTTTGGTGACAAAGAAGATCAAAACATACAACCAGAAGAAGACAACAAAGTCAAAGCTCCTACATCCAAAGCTTCCAAGAAAAATACGAACTTGTCCCAGGCCATGGAAGAGCTCAAAAAGAATTGTGAGAAGCAAGTAAGAGAAGTAGAGGAAAAAGTAGGAAGAGAAATGAGAGTGATGCAAGAAAATCATGAAAAACCAGTCAACAGCTTGCTAAAGGAGACCCAAAAAAGTACTGAAGAAAATAATGCCTTAAAAAATAGCCTAACCCAAACGGCAAAAGAGGTTCAAAAAGCCAATGAGGAGAAGACTGCCTTTTAAGACTGCCTTAATGTACTGTCCCAAGCTTTGGAGGTTTTGTGCAGCTGTTTTCAGAGATACTTCTAGGGATCTGTAAATTCTCAGTTCTTCCAAGGTGGTATGATAAGGGGTGAGGTATTTACTCCTTTCCTGACCAGTGCTCTGGTCTTCGAGTGACCATAAGTACTCTTTTCTGCCTTGGAACTGTGAGAAGGATTTTCTCAACACCACCACTACAAGCTCCACTACACCAGCGCTCCTCCTCGCCCCAGGACCACTACCCAGAACTGTGACCCAGATCCAAGCACGGGCAAGTTAAAATTAAATTTAAAAAAAAAAAGAATGCCTTAAAAAGCAGAATTGGCGAAATGGAAAAGGAAATCCAAAATCTCACTGAAGAAAATATTTCCTTAAAAATTAGAATGGAGCAATTGGAAACTAGTAACTTTATGAGAAATCAAGACATTGTAAAACAAAACTAAAAGAATGAAAAAATAGAAGACAATGTGAAATATCTCATTGGAAAAACAACTGACCTGGGAAATAGATCCAGGAGAGAGAATTTAAAAATTATTGGACTATCTGAAAGCCATGATCAAAAAAGAGCCTAGACATCATCTTTCAAGAAATTATCAAGGAAAACTGCCCTTACATTCTGGAACCAAAGGGTAAAATAGAAATTAAAAGAATCCACTGACCACCTTCTGAAAGAGATCTCAAAAGGAAAATTCCTAAGAACATTATAGCCAGATTCCAGAATTTCCCCGTCAAAGAAGGTCAAGGAGAAAATACTGCAAGCAGCCAGAAAGAAACAAGTCAAGTATTGTGGAAACACAATCAAGATAACACAAGATTTAGCTTCTATGTTAAGGGACCGCAGGGCTTGGAATATAATTTTCCCAGAGGTCAAAGGAGATAGGATTACAAGCCATAGTCACCACCTACCCAGCAAAACTGAGTATAATCCTTCAGGGGGGGAAATGGACATTCAGTGAAATAGAGAACTTTCAGAGATTCTTGATGGAAAGACCAGAGTTGAATAGAATATTTTACTTTCAAAAACAAGATTCAAGAGAAACATGAAGAGGTAAACAGGAAAGAGAAATCATAAGGGACTTATTAAGGTTGAACTGTTTACATTCCTACATGGAAAGATGGTATTTGTAACTCATGAGACCTTTGTCAGTATTAGGGTAGTTGGAGGGAAAATATTATATGTATGTATGTATAGATAGATAGATACGAGAGAGAGAGAGAGAGAGAGAGAGAGAGAGAGAGAGAGAGAGAGAGAGAGAGAGAGATGGCACAGGGTGAGTTGAAGATGAAGGGGTGATATCTGGAGAATAAAATTAAGGGGTGAGAGAGGATTATACTGGGAGATGGAGAAAGGGAGAGGTAGAATGGGGTAAATTATCTCACATAAAACAGACAAGAAAAGGCTTTTATAGTAGAACAGAAAAGGGGGCAAGGTGAGAGGGAATGAGTGAATCTTATTCTCATCAAGAAGAGAATAACATACTCAGTTTGGTATGGAAATCTATCTTACCCTACAGGAAAACGGGGGGGGGAAGGGGACAAGAGAGCAGGCAGATGATAGAGGGGTGGGCAGATTGGGGAGGGGGTAATCAGAAGCAAACACTAATGAGGAGGGACAGGGTCAAAAGAGAGAATGCAATAAATTGGGGTGGGATAGGATTAAGGGAAATATACTTAGTTTTTGACAACGTGACTACTATGGAAGTGTTTTCCATGACTACATATATATAACTTGTATTGAGTTGCTCACCTTCTCAATGAGGGTGGGTGGGGAGGATGGACGGGAGAAAATTTGGAACCCAAAGTTTTAAAAACAAATGTTAAAAAAATTGTTTTCAGATGCAACTGGGAAATAAGATATGCAGGAAATGGGATATAGAAATCTATCCTGTCTACAGTTAGATAGAAGGGGAAGGGAATCAGAGAAGAGGGGGAGAGATAGAAAGGAGGGAAGATTAGGGGACAAGGTATTCAGAATGCATGCCATCTTAGAGTAGGGGGAGGGACAAGATGGGGAGAAAATTTGGAACTTAAAATCTTGTGGAAGTGAATGTTAAAAACAAAAATAAAAAATTCAGAAGTGCAAAAAAAAAAGCTAGAAGCCACACTAGGAAGGAAGGGGTTAAAGTGGCAGATAGGAGTCTTTGTTAAATTAATCCTAAAGTGAGTAAACATGAAGTCACTGTCACTTTTTCCCATTTAGAAATTGTATTTATTTATTTTTAACATTAAAAAAAATGTTGAGTTCCAAATTCTCTCCCTCCCTCCTGCTCTTCCCCATATGCTGAAAAGACAAGCAGTGTGATACTCATTATGCATGTGAAGTCACGAAAGACGTATTTCACATTAGCCATGCCACTGACCCTTCTTGAGCCAGGGAAGCTACAGAATAAAACCAATGTTTTAGTAATACCTGTTTGGCAGCCTTGGAAAGGATGGATTAGAGAGAGGAGCTGAGGTCAAATGCCTAGGAAGCAAACCGAACCCAAAGCCAGAGCACAGAGCTGTTGCAGGGTGCTAGGGAGGCCAATGGTCTGTAGCCCTCAAGCCATCCCTTCAACCCTCTTCCTGCTAGGAATTTGTTCTTTTCTCCACCCAGAATATTCTCTTAGGCATGTGCTACTGGCTAGCTTCTGTTCTCTGCCCTCTGATCAAGCAGGGGCCCACCCCTTTACTCTGCCCAAAGATAATTTAGATACCACTACTCAGATTAATCAGTGTCTGCTCAGTTCATTATGATTTAATGGGATCAGTGATTGTTAGTGATTTAAGCAGAACAGAATTAAGTTTGAGTTACTTATGATAGGTAATGCCATAAGAATAAGTTATGATTAATTAACTCACCATGTTTTGATGATCCTGTTACTTGTGATTGATGTACAGGGCAGATTTATGCTGTGTTAGTGAGGCCTGTTATAAGGATTTCTCTTAGCTTGTGCTACTGTATTAGCACTGATGCGCCTCCCTCTCCACCCCTGCCCCCCAATCATACTTCTAAGTGCACCATGCTTGAAATAAGGTTCCGATGGCTTGTGGAAAGTGCTGACCATCTTTCCACAGCATACTTGTTTGTCCTGAAGGTGCCTGATGACATGCAATGTGGAAGGCTCAAGACCTTGCTGACAGGGTCCCATGACCTGTGGAAAGCCTCTGAATGCTACTGACAAAGTGTTAATGATTGATGGACATCTCTCCTGTCCAAGTATGGAAACTTCTTCCTTTAGCCAAATATGAGGTGATTTCATCTGCTTCTGCCCCTTAGCCAATCATATGAATCCCTACTCCTGGAGTTGACCAATCATGAACTTGTAATGTTCATTCATGACCTTTGAAGGTCAATAAAACTCCACAGATGGTGATCCAAAAGGAAGGTCTTGGATCCAGTTAATTAGGGACTGCCAGTCTCCCTAGTAAATTGACCTGTGCTCAGAGCTCCTGCCTCAGTTGCTTTTGTGGCAAATTAGATTTTTTTGTGGCCCACAAGCCATACTTCTGACACTCTGATTGGGGCAGCTAGGTGGTGCAGTGGTTATAAGTGCTGAGCCTGGAGTCAGGAAGACCTGAGTTCCAATCCAGCCTCAGACACTTGTAGCTGCATGACCCTGGGCAAGTCACTTAGCCCTCTTTGCCTCAGTTTCCTCATCTGTAAAATGAACCAGAGAAGGAAATGGGAAAGCACTCTACTATCTTTGCCAAGAAAACCCCAAATGGGGTCACGAAGAGTCACACTCAACAGACATGACTGAACACAACAAATGGACATTTAGGCAGATATACCTAGCAGGAAAGACTGGAGTTCAAGAGAAACTTTTGCAGATTTGGAAGTTATCTTCATGGTGAAGATCAGAAGGGAGAGTGTGGAGAAGGTGGGGCAGAGTTCTGGGGTGACCCCCCCCACCTCGCCTTAGGGCTTGGGGAGCTTTTTAGCAACCCAGCTAAAGTGACCAGGAAGGACAGTAGAAGACTCACCAGAAGAAAGCAGTGTCACGGAAGTTAAAGTAGGAGAGAATGAGTAGATGGTAAATGGTATGACAAGATTCACTGAAGGTGAAGAAAAGTTCATCTGCTAAGTGTTGAGATCACTGTTCACTTAGTGATCTCCTCTCCTCCCCCATTGAACCCTTCCTTGTAATAACAGGTAAGCAGAACTCATCTTCCAAGTGACAGTCCGTCCCAGTGTGTGACCTTTGGTACCTTACTTCCTGTCCTGGTCTCTCTAGCAGAGGACAGAACTATTTTATTGTCATTCCTTCTGGAACCATTATTGGCATTGCAGTGAATTCAATTCAATTCAATTGTTCAGCTGCCTTTTTTTTAGAGTTTTCTTTTTCTACATTATTGTAGTCATTTTATACACTATTCTCTTGGCTCTGCTTTCTTGACTGCTTTATTTTGCATGCTTTGGGGCAAGAGATCCCTTATTTCTCTGAACCCATTTATCATTTCTCCTGATATAGTATAATTACATTCATATACCGTGATACTGTCGACTGTCAACCTTTGCAGAGTCTGTTCTAACAAAGACAAACAAAATTAGGCTGCACGAGCATGTTTCTTTCTCTCAAAGCTGGAGAATCATGCATACAGAGATATGTGTGGGACTGCATTGGGAAAATGAGCCCAAGGAAGGAGAGACAAAGGGGACCTTATATCCTCAGAGCAATTCTCCCTCCCTTCCTGCCTTAGGATTCCAGTGTCAGCCAAATTTAGTCTCCATCTGTGTTAACCATAATACGGGAAAGGAATTTTCTTCATAGGATAGACTAGTAAAATAATAAGATAAGAGAGGTACCAAAATGTCAATTGAAATTATAGTTCCAGGATGCCTGTGTTTCTTCTATCATTAAGATGACATAATGGAATGTAATGGAATGTGACGTGACATAGCATAACAGTGCTCATAAACAACAGGGAAGATAGATACCATCACCCAAAAAAGTGGGTAACAATGAATAAATAGTAAGATAAGGGAGAGATAATCATCCGCAGCATTCTGGGTCATCACCAGTCGACTTGACTTTGCCGCTGGGCTTCGATGATTCTGGGAGACAGGGTGAGGCTGACGATGTGTGCACCTCTGCCTCACTCGAATCCAATCACACAAGACCTAACTCATTCACGATGTCATTGGTCTTTGAAAATGAAGAGTGAACAGTTAACTACTACTACTGGCCCCTTGCTGCTTGGAGTTATCCCCCCAGCCTGATGCCCCTTCGTGGGTGCCTTCAGAGTTCTCAGGCCCTCTGCAATTTTATGCCAAAGCCTGGGGCGCTTTGCAGGACTGAGCAACAAGGCACCAGCTCACAGTCCCACTTTTCTATGCCCTAGGACAAGGCTGTCTCCCTTCTGTGGCCAGCTGCCCCTGGCCAGCCCCGCCCCCAGACTGGACTTTCCTCAGCCAGGCAAGGCAGCACAGTGGGCTTCTGTGTCATCACAATAGCACCTGCAGGTAGTGAGGGGTTGCTAGGAGGATGACACAGGGTCCAAGAGGGAAGTAGGTTATAAGGGGGGAGCTCTGAACCTGGCCATGGGGGGAGGAAAGGACAGACCTACCACCAGCCTCCGCCCATCTGCCCCCCCCCCGGCCCAAAGTTCTCACGGTTCCTTAACACCTCAGTTCAGGAACATTCCTGGGTCTTTGGCAGCCCTGCTCTGTCTTGGTGAGTTCCAGGGGATTTAGGGATGGGAAGTGGACTCACAGATCATGCAGGACAGAATGCTCTGAGGCTGCAGGGCCAGAGGACCTGCACTTAAATCTTACTTTTGCTGATTTCCCCATGTGACCTTGGACAATCAGGTCACCTCCCCAGCCTCAGTTTCCTCATCTGCTAGATGACCTCTGAGATCCCTCCCAACTCTGCTGCTATCATCCTATGACTAGAAGGCCTCCTCCAGAGCGGGTAGGGGGCCCAGGGTTTGGCTGTGGGTGGAGGGAACCTCTCTTCTCTCACTGGGTCCTCTCTGACAGGGCTGTGTTTGAGCCAGGGAGTCATGGCACAGAAAGGTGAGTCCTTTCTCTCAAACCCCCTTTTTCTGCCCTCACAGCTTAGTATACAGAAGGTTGCTCTGAGGGCCCAGGGCTATTGAGGATAGGGATACCCAGCATCTAGGCTCTTTGAAGAGCTGAGGACAGAAGGTAAATGGAGTAAACCAATAGATTAATCAGGGGCTGTCTCCTGGGATGGATTGGGGGGTGGGGCATCTTGACCAAGGGGCATTCCATTTGGGAACCAAGTGAGGGGATCTCTCCTTAATCCCAAACCCAATTCAGGCTGTACCCTAGCCCTCCTCTGACCCCTCTTGTCCATGCTTCTCTATTTTTGAGGGAGACCCAGAGAGACTCAGGGCCAGGTTCCCTTGGAATGGCAGACTCTATCTGCTTCACTTCCAGAAGCCTTTCCCAAACCTTCCTTGTGGGCTGTGCCTGGCACTGTGATCCCCTGGGGGAAGTCTGTCATTGTCCGCTGCCACGGTGCAGAAGAGGCCCAGAGGTTCCTTCTGGAGAAGGATGGAAGCACAGAACTCAAGGACATGCTGGAGGTACCTGGGCCCTGGAAGGAGGCCGAGTTCTTCATTTCAGACATAGCGGCACAGACAGCAGGTCGATACCGGTGTCAATACCAGAGTCAGAGCTACTGGTCAGAACTCAGTGACCCCTTGGAGCTGATGGTCACGGGTGAGGGGGATGAGCTCGGTCATGCCCCTCTCTCATGTCCTCCCCTTCCTGCATCCCCCTCCTCTTGGAAGAAGAGTACAGGAATCCCAGAAACAATACATCCAGGAGGGGACCTAGGGAGCATCTAATCCAACCTGCCCACTTGACAGAGGAGGAAACTGAGGCCCAGAGAGGGGAGGTGATTGGCTTAAAGTCACTCTGCTAGTTAGGGGCAATCCTGAGACTCCTCATAGGAAATCCATGCCCAGCCTATTGACCTCTAGGTTCTGAGCTCAGGAGGTGGGACAGAATGGAGAGGAATGGTAGAGCTCAACCCGAATTTCAAGGAGAGAGGGAGGAGTCTCCCAGGTTGTAGACATCTCCTTAGGACAGGATGCAAAGATGAGGCCAGACCCCATTTCTGAAATGTATAGAGAAACTGAGTCAAATTTATAAGAATGCAAGTCATTCCCCAATTGGTAAATGGTCAAAGGACATGAACAGGCAGTTTTCAGATGAAGAAATTAAAGCTATCTGCAGTCATATGAAAAAATGATCTAAATCACTGTTGATTAGAGAAATGCAAATCAAAACAACTCTGAGCTACCCACATCACACCTATCAGATTGGCTAACATGACAAAACAGGAAAATGATAAATGTTGGAGATGTGGGAAAATTGGAACACTAATACCTTGTTGGTGGAGTTGTGAAGTGATCCAACCATTCTGGAGAGCAATTTGGAACTAAACCCACAGGGCCATAAAAATGTGCATACACTTTGACCCAGAAATGCCACCACTAGGGTTGTGTCCCAAAGAGATCATAAAAATGGGAAAAGGACACACGTGTACAAAAATGTTTATAGCAGCTCTTTTTGTGGTGGCAAAGAATTGGAAATTGAGGGGATGTCCATCAATCGGGGAATGGCTGAACAAGCTGTGGTATATGAATGTACTATTGTGCTATAAGAAATGATGAGTAGGCAGACTTTAGAAAAACCTGGAAAGGCTTAAATGAACTGATGCTGAATGAAGTGAGCGGAACCAGGAGAACAGTGTACACAGTAACAGCCAGATTGTGCGATGACTGACTTGGACAGGCTCATCTCCTCTCAGCAATTCAAGGATCCAAGACAAGTCCAAAGAACTCACGATGGAAAATGCCATCCATATCCAGAAAAAGAACTATGGAGTATGAATGCAGATTGAAGCACATTATTTGATCTTTTTCTTTTTTTCTTTTTTTTTGTTTGTTTGTTTCTTCCTTCTCATGGTTTCTCCCGTTGGTTCTAATTCTTCTTTACAACATGACTAATGTGAAAATGGGTCCAATATGAATGTATATGTAGAGCCTATACCAGATTGCATGCCGTCTTGGGGTGGGGGAAGGAGTGAGATAGGGAGAAAATTTGGAACTCAAAATCTCGTGGAAGTGAATGTTGAAAACTAAAAATGAATAAATAAATTTTAAAAAAAGTAAAACAAACAAACAAAGATGAGGCCAGAACTCACCTTCATTCAGGGATCTCCTTCCCTCCCTCTAGGATTGTACCCCAAACCTTCCATCTTGGCCAACCCAGGCTCCACTGTGACTATAGGACAGGATGTGACCTTGCATTGTGAGTCACAGCTCAGGTCAGACAGATATGTTCTCTATAAGACAACTGGGGCCAATGCGCCCCACTCACTGCTCTCCACTGATTACAAGGCCGACTTCCTATTCCCCACTGTGATGGTCTCCCATAGCGGCACATACCTATGCTACAGTTTTGATAGTGACTTCCCCTACCTCTGGTCAACACCTAGGGATACCCTGGTGCTCAAGATTTCAGGTAAGGAGGAGGGGGAAGGGGGATCCCTAAGCCCAGCCCAGGTCCTCTGAATATGTCCCACAGGCCCTGAGGATTGACTGCTCCTAGGGGGTACACAGGCAAAGGACAAGGTCCGTAGGAGGTTTATTATCACCCAGGGGGTGGGCAGACTGTAAGAAGTCAGGGTCTTTTCTTTCCCTCAATCTGTCCTCAGCCCCACCCTTTCCCAGTCCCCAGTAGGTCAGTCAATGACCTATGTAATTCAGTGAATCCAGAGTAAGTACCATAGAGACCCAGGAGACAGAGGAGAGGTAGGCCCAATTTCTCCTCATCTTTCTCCTTTTCCCCAACCAACAGGCTCTAAGGAAGGGCACTTCGAACAGTAGACTCCTAATGATGGTGAGTGACGAAGGACCTCTCTACAGCCCTGATGGGCACCTGGGGACAGCCCCTGGCTGCCTGGTGGGGCATGGGAGGAAGCTACAGATCTTCATCTCCTTCCAGGTTTCCAGTAACAGCTTCTCCTCTATTCCCTTTCTTCCCTTCTCCAAGAGTTTATGTCTGCACACCGTAACTTCATCAGCTTCCGGCTAATACTGGCTGGTGTAACTTTGGCCATCTTGGGGGCTCTGATGAATGAAGCCTGGCGACACAGGGGCTCAGCCCAACAGCAAGTGAAGAAACCTCTTGACGAGCAGCCAGAAAGATAGGTGGGATTGAGAACAGAGGGACCTCTGGAAATTCCCCCTGAGGGTCCCTAAGGCCACAGATAGAGTGAATCAATAAAGAATCTGGGGGAATTTCTTGCCTGATCTCCTGGGGTCCAAAAGCATTCCAGTGGGGAGCTAGCTGAGGAGAACCCTTCTCAAGCCCATGCTGTCCCCCAAGCTCCCTGCTAGTTCTTGTCCTGGCTTCCCTATTCTTGTCCCAGGTACTGCTATCTTCTCAGTATCTCTGGCCAGGCATTCAATGAGGTGCCCCGATGTGTTATGCAAGGAAGGTATCATGGCCATAACCTACTAACCAAGGTCAGTCTCATGAGCGGCTGCTCAAGGTCGAATGACAAGGTGCTAGGAGTGTCCACAGGCAGAAGCAGCCCAGCTCCAAGGCCTTGGCCCTGAGATGGCAGCCCCAGTCAGCAAGGCCAGTGCAGGCCTGCACATCCTGCACTCTGCTGCTCCTCCTCCCAGCCCACTCACCTCCTTTGTGGTCTGGCCACTTAGCATCTTGCATGTGTGTGTGTGGGGGGGGGGCAGCAGTCCTGAGGCAAAGGTTAGATAGTTCTTGCCTGCAAAAAGCTTCCATTCTACAGGGGTGACAACATGATCCCAGCGATGTGAGTAAAGGAGAGCCATAAAATAAAAATAAATGTGAAGGGAGGAGGGCATTGGAGCTGAGTGTTCCAAGAGGCTGGGGTGTGATCAGCCGGAAAAGGCAGGCTGAAACCAGATGAGGAAGGACTTTGTATTTTATCCTCTAGGGAAAAGGAATGGCCTCCTTCAGAGCAGAGGCATGGGCCCGCTCCCCTCTCTCCACTCCTCTCCCCTGCTTCACCAGCTGCCAGCGCAGCCCCTCCCCAGGTGTCCTGTAGACGTCTCTGACTCAACAGGACAAAAACGGGACTCCATCCTCCTCCCCCCCAGCCCAACCCCCTTCCTTAATTTCCCTGTTGCTGTTGAGGGTGTTCCATCCTCATCCTCCCAGTGACGACCTGGCTTCTGTTACCCTGAAAGTTTGGTTGAAGAAGGCAAACAAGTTAGGTGACACATGATTATATAGTTTATTCCCTTTTAGCTAGCGAATCATGTTAACATGGAAGCCAGAATGTGATTCTGCCTCGGAGATTAAACAAAATGAGAGAGGTTTTATACAGTTTAGAGTGAGCAGACTCAGGATGTCTGTGTTACAAAAAAAGGTATAGCCTCCATATGTTTCTTAACACACAGCATATAAAAAGGAAGTTACTTAATTGCATAGATTGTAAATACAATAGAAGAATGTCAAAGTATCAATCAAAATTATAGATCCAGGATATGTGTTTCCTCTACATAACATATGTCTATAGGATACAAAAGAAGGAAAAGTCTCATTAATCAAGAGAGTGTCTGGTCCCAGATATCCTGGGCTCAGTGATGATGGACAGGAAGAATGTTGGTGAGCTCCATCTGGTCCTGAAATTTGCTGACACAGAAAGGGGTGTTTTCAGTTCACTCAGAGAGAAAAAGATTAATTCAGGTTTTTGGCACCTACTGCGGCCCAGTTGATCTCAAATGATTATCATTTCCTCCTTTTGGTCAAAGGTAAGCCCAAGGCTTCACCTGTAGACCAAGAGAAAAAAGGAGATAGGCTGGCCGTCCAGCACAGTAGGAGGAGTCAGAGTTACCTCGGGTTGTGTTAATCCCTAGGATCTGAGAGGAGGGCAGAGATAACATAGATAGAACCTGATTCCTCTGTTGAAGTTGGGGATAGCCCACCAGGGCAGATCCAAATAGTATAATTACACAATTACACTGAGTCGGATCAAGGTTCCCTACAGGGGTTCCGGAGGAGTGATTAGATAAATAGCACAGGAGGGGCTGTGGAGGGCCAGACTGCCCTAGAAAAGACAGTGTTCTGAGGGTTATCTAACTCTAAGCGAATTAGAGTTTTTTCCAACCATTTCCTGAAGTAGGGGGCACTGAGGAGACGGTCGAATTCCTTGTTAGCCTGAGCCTATTCCGCCCTGAGAATCACATATGGTTTTTCAGAGCTTCCCTTTTCAGAGAATCTTAGGCCCTCAGTGGGGTGAGCCTAGGCGATCAACTCAATCGACCCCCAGTCAGAGGCAGAGATAGGTTGTACTGAAGGGCATCCCAGAGGGTCTATGCACTACCAGCAATAGGACAGGTTAAATAGTCTGACTGCCTCCTGACCCAGCTTCCGCATGGGATGAGTGGGAAGGTGAGAGAAGGGGTTACTCTTCCCCTGGGATTGGACATCCCCAGAGACAGGCAGCCACTGCAAGACGATTGCAAATAAGCAATAGGAACAGGCTGCGAGGGGAGTCAAAGTGGGGTGAGTGAGAGACATAATGGAAATATAGAGATTAAGCAGTCTAGGACTACTAAAATATGCGTAACCAGTCTTGGGTATATAAGGGGTTCAGGTGGGGAGGGAGCTTTGCTTCATGCAGGCCTGGTCCGCACTCTTGGGAAAGCTGTCTACATCTGATATCGTCTTTTTCAGGCCCCTTCGTAACCGGAGGGCAAGGTTTCCTATAGGTTCAGATGTCCACTCAGGAGTGGGCATCTTCAGATGATCCCAGAGTCCATATCCAGAAGTTGGCAGCTATGGGAGTAGTCACATAGAACTGATAGAGGCTCATAGAAGATGTACGAGTTGATAATTGAGAGAAAATAGCATAATGTAAGTCTTTAGTTAAAGGCACATAGAGATGGTTCAGTTTCCCAGCCACACAGGACTAGGTTCAAACAATACAACAAAGTTTTCTCATAGTTCACAAAATCACATAATTACATTAAGTACAGATTAAATTACTTAAAGGGTTCACAATAGACTAGTTTTGAGAAGAGAGATTTACATGTAACCAAGATAACCAAGAAAACTTAAATATGAATCATACAAAGCAATACAATCATTATTACCAATGTTAACTAACATTAAATTCCTTGCTCACGTACAATAGGTTTAATTCATAGGCAGTTCAAAAAGGGAGTTCTGTTTCTCTGGTTTAGATTTAGAAGTTCCCAGATAATTTTGACTTAGTATGAATTAGTATAGTCACTTAAATTTGGTTCTTCATTTTTGATATCATCTGCTGCTTCTGTTCTTAACTACATCCTGTACCTGGTATAAGAATTGTTTAAAATGTGAAGATCCAACCATAAAATGAGCTCTCCTGCCTTTTAAAATTATAAGACAGATACCTTAATAAAGGAGAAATAATTTCACTTATTTTTACCACTATCCTATACAATTTTGTGTAAAGATCCAAATTTGAGATCCTCTTACCTAAACATGCTTAAAGCTTGGATTTCCATGATAGATACATTTTGGAAGCCAAACATATACATTTGTATATAATTCTTAGAGGAATCAGTATAATCCTGTTGCTTTTCTCAAAATTTGCTATCCTATTTAATTAGACATCTATCACATTACATCTTTGTCTTATTATTTTGTCTAAACATTTCCTCCTTAGGAGGATGATATTCCTATATTATTATTACTTGGCCATGAATGTAAGTTAAAATTGTAAGCTATTCATACTTGCATCATATTATGATAACTCAGAGATGTTCCAGAAGGACAAGGTCATATATCATATCAGAAGGAAAGAACTTCCTTAGCTCTATTTGATTCCAGCCATGAATCATATCTGATAGCCAATCATGTAGTCACTGGATGTTAAAAGCAGGGCTTAGGATTAATTAGGTGGGGAATTTTCCTTTTCAGAAAGGAAATAGTACAATTGGGAAATAGAGTCAGGAAGATCCTACATAGGTTGTGTCCAAGGTCGTCCTCAAAACTCTTCACAGACACAGACATCCACCTTTATCAGTTCCCAGCCTGCAGCACATTCCATCCTACTATGGGCTTCATGACAACTCAGACAATTATCCTGGTAATCAAAGCTCAAAACAATAGTAAATTTCTGTCCCATAAAATCACATATCTTAGATCAGAGAAAAATACTGCTGCTCTCATAATTCCTTTAAACAATGGGAACATCTTTAGGTGAGTCTTCAGAAGTTTGTATAAATTTCTGCACATGTTCGAATTCCAGATTGATAATATTAGATTTCCCATTAAGTTAACACAAAAGAGCTCATAAATTACTACTCTTCACTAACATAACTGCACTGGAATCCTAATCCTTAAACAAGACAAAGAGGTTACTAACTTTAACCTCGGAAGCTGGTGGATTTATGTCCTTGTTCACAACCTTGTTTATTCTTCTCTAATTATACTCACTCTGAAAGAATGAGATATTTCAAGATTTGAATCTTACACACATAAGTTCAAACACTAATTTAACTCTTGCTTAGGCCATGAATGACTACAGATTCAGATCAAAACAGCAAGATCTCTTCTGCTTTACAGCTCATTACAATAATTTAGCAGTAAGTTATCTTGCAAATGAAAATTTTGTAGGCCTCAAAAAAAATCAAACAAGACATATCTTCTAAAAGTATTTCCCTTCTTTAAAAACAGTTTAAAATTTGTCCTGATGTTAAGAAGAATAATCACTAAACTTTTATGAAGAACATTTGTTAGAAATTTTTAAAGTGATAGATATCTTTCCTTTCCACCTTAAAGTAAAAATAAACCTTTAACATTGGAATTTATTAAAACTAAGTTGATGTAAAATGTCCTTAAGTAACATAAATAACTTCCCAAAGTACTATAACAAACTAAATTCCTAGTTGTTACAGAATTCCTAGATATCACAAAGTTCCTTAGTCAAAAAGGTGTTTGTAATGGAGAAAAAAATTCAGTTTTTATAATGCATAAAGAACATACCCATTTAAATTAGCCTTATCACAATAAAAATATTATCAAGCCTTTAAAAATTTACTCAGTATTTTTTTCTTTCCTTTGTCTTTAAATATATCACTGGAAAGGAAAAACTATTACATTCTGGAATCTCACAAAGATAGTGAATGTGGTAATCCATAAATCTCCAAATTAACATATCTCAAGGATTCTCATTTACTCAGGAATTTCACAACACAGGAAACTTTTACACAGATTTGATAAGAATTTTAGGTGAAACTTCCTCTTAAAAGCAAAT